CTTCTACAAGCCTGCTCCCAACAAAGCATGAAGGAACTTTCGCACTCTGATATAAACATTTCAGGGAGCTCAGCTCTGGAGCAGAGTCACAGGTACCCACTTCTCTGCTATCCAAAGCCTCATAGCATCTCAGTGTTATCCTTGTCAATCTTTGACCTTGTCTCTTTAAATACAAAAGTGAGAGAGATTCTAGAAGTTTACTAAAAAGTAGCCTGGAAATCTCATGCATTCAGACCAAAACAGCCTGGTTTCTAACTACAGGCTAACACTAGACAAGTGACCCTCAGAACATAATTACAGTGCTATCCTTCACATAGGGTTCTGGGGAATAAATGAGGCCAGGCTTATAAAGCATTTAATACAGTATACAGAGACATTTGATTAACTAGGAGTAAGTTACTCCTAGTTACTAAGCTCCATATCATAACTTTTAAAATGAACAATCAGGTAATTTTCATTCCTAAAAAAAAGAAAAATACACCTATAATAAAGAGGATGCATCTTGGGGTTAGATTTTTAAAAGTCTTTATAGATACATAAAAGTTAAACTAGAGTTGTTTAGATTAAATTTTTATTAAGGTACTATTATCTTGGAAAATATCGACATCCCACTCAAGTGGCTTGACAATGTAACTTGGGCTGAAAAGATGAAGATTATATGAAAAATAAAAAGTTAGTTAAACCACATGATACAGAGCCATGCCGGGGCCCCATTAGGGCACTTTTTCTGGGGTAGCAGCTAGAAACAGAACTACTTTTAAAAATGACTTAAAGGAGATGGAAGCTTATTTTCTTTGTTTTTAATCTTCCCAGGAGAAACTTGGAGACAGTCCAAGGGTTCTGAACCCACAGAATTGTCATGGATTCTCTTCCCTTCCCACTCTGGAGTCCACAGCCCATATGGTGCAGGCTTCATTTTCAGTATCCAAGATAAACTGCTAGAGCTCCAGTTATTACATTCATGCCTTGAACACAAGATTCTAGAAGAAAAAAAGAAAGAATGCTTCCTTCATTATTTTTAGGGAAGTTTCCTCTTACATATTACTGGCAGGTACTTGGTCACACGATCATCCCTAGGAGCAAAAGAGTGGGAAATGTAATCTTCAGTCTAAAACAAAAAATTTTCTAAAGATGGAGAGAATAATAGATACTTGAAGGAAATTAAACTTCCCAGCCACTTGAAACTTATCCTTTTTCTTCGAATATCCTTTCTCTCTTCCCATTTGTAGGTCCCTTTTTTCTTTGCATTGGTTAGGGTTCTTTAGATGAGCAGAAGAAAGAGAGAGACACACACACAGAGTCAGAGACAAAGACAGGGATAAAGAAAGTAACAGAATAAATAATTTTAGAGCTAAAGAAATTCCAAATGCCCAACTAAAAGTAAAACCACTCAAAGGAAAACATACTCCATAACTCATTTAAGATACAAGAAAGAAAATAAAAGAAGTGTATTTTCAACTCAAGAAGACATAAGAAGGCCAACAAAGTTAAAAATGCAGAAACAAAATCATTCATGTAAGACCAGAAAATGACAAATAAATGAGAAATCAACTTAGTAAGTAAATCTGCAGTGCTGTTTTTATATGGAAGTCTCTGTGCTTCCTAGCAACCAAAACACTCTCTCCTTGAGACTAATCATTGAGGGACGTGAGTTGGCAAGGTATCATGTCCCATCTATAATATCAGAGGCTAGGACAATAAGTGTTTTTTGAATAACTGTGTTAGAGTCCTGATATGCCAGGTTAAAAGGAGCGCCCTCTCTGTCTGCTTACGTGAGTCAGGGACTGGGGCACCCACACACAGAGGGACAAAGGAATGGCGAACCACAGTGCCCTCTGGGGCCACTTCACAGAAAAAGTGTCCAGAGAGCTACTGATTTAATTCCATTTAATTCTGTGTGCCTCCTCCTACCTGCCATCTCCATTTCTACCTGTGCCTACACTAGGGTGCTAGATTTAGCCTCCCCTGGAACAAGAGTTCTTAACCGGTTCAGGAGGATATGAACTTGGATGGAAATCAAGCTTTATTTTTCCTAGTCAGCCTATCATCTTTAGCATTTCCTGCCATTATGACGCAGGCAAAACAACCACAACAAACCCACTGGAATTAATAGTCTCTGGGACGGTCACCAGGAGACATCACAGAGGCTTTATATCCCACTAAAGTCTGACCAGCAATCTCAAAATATTCATGTTCATTGTTACTTCAAAATTATGGTAGTTATATGTCCAGATGCTAAATCTTCTTACTTAATGCATTAAAGATTTACTATAAAGAGATGTTACTACAGGGCCAGGGATTTAGCACAGTGGCATAAGCACCTGCTTGGCAAGCACGAGGTTGAGTTTGATCCTGGTACCCCCCCCAAAAGAGCGAGAGAGATGTTACTATAAAGAAAGGTTTATATAATTATACCGTAGATTTTTAAAATGCTTTGATAACTGCATTTCAGTATGGTTGATTTCTTTTATATTCCTATGCATTTTATTGTATAAATTTGAAACTATGTTTTAAGAAGAGGCTATAAACTTTACTAAGTATCAATAGTAAGGAAGGCTCTTAGAAGTTTAAGGTGTCTGCCCTAAATTCACTTATGGAGATTGACTAAAACTTCTCCACAAAGGAGGAAAATGAGAGTCGTGCTGAGTTACTGTTTTAGGAAATCTGGTTAATTTAGGAGATTATTCATCATTATGATCAGACTTCAGAAAAATCACTTAGAGGCTGCATTGCAGAGTGCCTAAAAATACAAGCTCTGGGGCTGAAATGCTTGGCTTAAAATCTCAGCACACTGTTTGTGAGACTGTGAACTTCTCTGTGTTTAAACATCACATCCTCATCTGTGAAATGGGGATAATGTGTACTCCTGACTCAGAGGCTGTGTGATGTCTAGAACAAGTCCCACAACTTGCTCAGCCCAGCGTGCCTTACAGTAGACGGTCTTCCACGGCAGTGTAAGCCCAGCCACGCTTATTTCCAGCAGTCCGCCCTGTGCAGCCTTTCTCTTCTTTTTGTTTTGAAATATCCTACCCATCATCCAGACCTGCTTTCTTTCTCGCGATCTTCTCATTCAGACGAATTTCTCTTTCTTCCCCACAACCTCCCCTCCTAGCAAAACCCACTCTCAGATACGGCTCTGAAACTGCTTACTTAGGTCTCTGTGCTTTTCAGTATTTTTAGTTATCTTTCCTAGGATGGCAATCCTATCACTGTATGAGAAAGCTTTGTTTGTAGCAAAAAAGAATTTCGGTTTCCAGAAACAGACAAAAGAAATGTTTCTGGGGCTGGGGATTTAGCTCAGCGGCATAAGTGCCTGCCTTGCAAGCAGGCAGTCGTGAGTTCGATCCCTAGTACCGTTAAAAACGAAAGAGACAAAAAAAAAAAAAAAAAAGAAAAGAAAAAAAAGAAAAAAGAAATGTTTCTCTTCCCATTGGAATGCTCATTTTTTTTACTTCCCTGCACCTTATCATTCTAGTCTAAGTTCCACTTCCTCCAAAAACCTCCCTTATATCTCCTGTCTGCACTGGCAGGTGCAGGAGGTGGCCCTCTGATTTTTCCAAACTTTGGCACATAACGAGTGCCGGCCAGTCTGATATTCAGCTAAGCCTGGCTTCTTTATCTCTCTCTTCTGCTTCGCAGCAAGCAGCTGTCCTCAGGAGCAGGAGCCTACTGGCTTTCTTTAACTTTTCTAGGGGTCTCCAACTAGGCAAGGTAAGAAAGATAAACTCCAAACACATCTCAGGTGTGCTTTCTTAGTACCTCCTGGCCTTTGTCTGAGCTGTGAGGTCCCAAGGGTAGAACAAGCCCGACTTGGCTTCCAAATGAGCTAGGAATGTCTCTGCAAAACTCTTTAAGGGTCTCTAGAGAAGGCAGGGTTCAGCAGTTACCTCCAGGGTTCTTGGAAAGGATCCTCCCTTTTCTTCAGGGTTGATGCTCCCTGCACTCCGGAGTACCATGATACGAGAATCCTGGACTAAGCTCCAAGAGCCAGCCACAGTGACCAGCTGTGGGGCCTTGAACGTATTCCTCCTCTTCTGGATTTTAGCTTCGTCAACTGTAAAATGAATGTTTTGAGTTTGATACTCTCACATAATGAGAAGGAGAACTGGACTCATTCTTTATGGATACATTCCAAAATTTGTCATATTTCTCAAGAAACAAGACTCATGGTTATAATTTTCTGGTAATCCTATCAGTTCTCTAGCACTCTTGCCCATGAGGAGCGTGGAATTTGTTTCATAGTCCAGAGTGTGCTGAGGTGACCACCACATTGCCTTCTTTTAGTGTCTTTAAGAAATTACTTTAAAATATGTACTTAGTAGACAAAATCTCAAAAGTGCCTCTTCTATTTTGTTATGGAGATAGTTTGATTTTTACAAAAATCATATCTATTTTTCTGCATACTGAAAGTATTTAAAAACCAGAAAAGAAATGTCTAATCACATATATCACCTTCTTGGACTGGTCACCACCTTGTGCACTGCTATCCACTGGGCAATCAGTTCAATAAACCTGAGCGTGGCATAGTAGTATAGGGTTGCCTGGTTCACTTTGCACATGCAGACATTAAGCCTGTTCAACACCTTGTGCTATTGGTATAAATGGGTCCTAAGATTTCAAGTGTTGACACTGAGAAGTTAAAAAGTATCAGTGACATCATCTGAGCAGACTTAAAAGGATGGGTCTGTAAAAGTCTATACATAGGGGCTGGGGATTTAGCTCAGTGGCGTAAGCGCCTGCCTTGCAAGCGTGTGGTCATGAGTTCGATCCCTGTTACCAATAAAAACAGAAAGCAATTTATAAAAGTCTATAAACCTCTTCGGAATGGAGAGGGGAGATCTGTAAGCAGTAGGAGCCTGAGGAAGCACTGCTTCCACCATTCACGTGACTGGGGAATGTATGCCACATTCATTCAAAGAACTCTCAGGCTAGAACCAGAAAAAGCACTGGGGAGGTGAAAAGAAAGTAAAAAGATAGTATGACTCATGATCACGTATATATGTATACATCTACTTTTATTTACTTGATGGCAACACAGCTTTGTTTACTATAAAACCACAAGCAGACAGTATATAGAAATTACAGATAATTAAACAAGTAAAAATACATATGTTTTAGGCAAAAAAGCAAGATGAAATTTGATTGTCATGTACAAAAAAAACTAACAATCACACTTGTTTAGCAATGTTCGTGGAAATGGTAAATACAATCCCAATAAATTGTATAACTGTCTTAATTTTAATCCAAAAACTAACAAGTGATTTCAGGACATAACATACAATTGTATTTTAAAAAATGAGAATTGCTCTCCAGTGTTTGTTTTAGGTTAATACTTTAATTTACTTTTATTCTTTCAGACAATTTTAAATAAACTATAAGTCTTCTGTGTAACAAAAACAAATAGGAAAAAATATGTAAGTTTTTGAAAATGTGGTTTCTAGGGATACAAACAACAAAAATAAACTTTAATGTCAAACGCACAGAGTTGGCTATATTTGGAGAGTAAATATTACACAGTGATCATTTAGCCTTATAAATGTCCTGTTCTTGAATTAAATAAGAAGGGGCAAGTCACTCCGTAGCTCTCCATGTTTACTGGGATAAAAGCGGACTGGGACACACTATTATTTTGCTCAGATTCTTACTGACTGGGATGCACAGAGGAAGGTGGTCAGTACTTTAAGATGCTCTGATGCTGGCATTTTCAAAACCTTGACTCATTGGCTGATGGGAGATTCACCTGCCATGTCCGTCCCACTCTGTCATCAAATTTCACAGCCTCCTTTGTACCACACGTCATTGGGAACATAAAGCGAACATACTGCTAAGAGAGGTAAGGGAACATAATTCACAGAATGAAAGCTAAAAGGAGGTGATGGCAAGTTTTTTGGCTACTGAAGCCAAGGAAGTAAGTAGGTCTTTGTCCAGGCACACTACAGTTGTTCATACATCCTCTTGACTACTTCTGTGATTGAAAGCATTTTTCTCACATATTAGTTAATTGGCTTCTACAGCTCTCCTGACAGTAAATACCATGGGAATTATTAGCTTTGTCTCAGAGAAGTTTTCCAAGGGCCACACAGAGAAAAGCCAGGGCTGGATTTTAGGTCTCCTGGTGTAAAATCCCAAATTCAAAACACCAGATGAGAGGCCAGTATAAAAAGTGGGATGAGCGGTCAGTAAACCAGTGGGGTCACCACAGCTCACTATTGGTCTTGCCCCCAGAAACTCATGTTCTTCTTCCTTTCTGATACACAGAGTCCTACCACTGAGCGACATCCCCTGCCTAGAGCTCAGGACTTCACACTGCGGAGTAGAAATGAAATGGCCTGTTCCTTCTGAGAGTGCTTCCGTCTTATAAGAGCAGTAAGTCTCAATCCAAAAGAATCATGACTGGGATGGGATTCAGGCACAGTGGCAAACACATCCTGCCCTCCGGTCAGAGCAGTGAGGGTACCTATCAGCCTGGCTGGCTTGGAGGGAGCTCTTCCTCTCATACTTCAGAGCCAGTGAGAGTGAAAAAATGTCTCAGCCACATCCAGGGGGCTACTTCAAAGCCTCCTCACCCCAAAGCATAAAGACATGAAAAGGAAGTGAAGGAATTAAAGGGAAGCCTACCTAATGGTCCACGCCAGAATAACAGAGGTGAAGCAATGCCGTCTTACACCCAGAGAACCTGAATCCACACAGTGGATTCTGACTTCCCTCTGGGGTGACAGTTCATGAAGCCAAGGAGACAGTCCCACACTGAGCCCAGGCTTCCCCTCTGCAGACTTTTCCCTAGGAACCCAGAACTTTATAATTCCTGTCCAAATGGCCTTCAGGGTTTTTGAGGTTTCTTCTCTAAGTCATCCTCCTGCTAAGCCTTGCAACAGATGTAGCGTCCTGGGCTTGGGCTTGGGCTTGGGGAAAGGAGTGTGGCTATAGGAAAGTGTTGCAGCGTGCAGACTTGGTCACAACACATAGGACGTCCCTGGGCTTGCATGCAAGGCTGATACAGTGTGGCTCAGACTGATAAGAAGTAAAGGACTTCCCAGAGAGTTTAAAACTTCTTTTCCCTTTTTGCTCCCAACCTTGCAAATGTTACGAGTAGACTCAAGCCTAAGGGCACTCCCAGAAATGAGTAAGATCAGTATGTGATGAACAGCTGAGATGATCTAAAGATATCCTCACACTCCAAAGAAAAGTACCCTGGCCTCCTTGCAGAAACCTGCTTATTCCAAACTTTGCATTTTACATTTGATTTGGTTTAATTCTTGTTTTGTTTTGTAAATTGTCACCAACATACTAAGGTTCACCAGTGCTTGCTCTTTGCACAAATTATACATTCAGTGAATAATGACCATTAGTAACAGTGTCTAGTCTCATCTGTTTTAGAAATTTCAAGCTCACTGAACACAATGAATCTGTGGTTGTCTATTTACACTGTCTGCTGAAAACCAAGAGGTCTTGGTTGAAGCATGTACCAAGCACATCTTGTCTTCTGTTCAACTTTGCAAGCTCAGCAGGATCATTTTAGTCTGATGCAGTCCACCTCTTCCGTGGCTGGCATCCCAGTGGTTCTGAGGTCCAGGTCAGCACTCGATTTACTCCCAAGGTAAGAAGACCTCCAGTGAAGCAGGATAATCTTCTTGAAGTACTTGATGGTGTTGTTCTTGACAGTCACGAAGCACAGCGTGTTGATCATGCTGTTGCTCATGGCGATGCACTCGACCACGTAGAAGGCGGTGAGGTAGTGTTTCTCCTTCACGAACACGGTAGGGAAGAAGTCACGCACGATGGTGAAGCCATAGAAGGGCGCCCAGCACAGCACATACGCCGTGAGGATGCCGATGAGGACCAGCACCGTCTTTCGGCGGCAGCGCAGCCGCTTGCGGATCTGCTCCGTCTGGAACCCGGGGACCTCCTTGAACCAGAGCTCCCGGGAGATCCTGGCGTAGCACAGGGTCATGGTGACCACAGGACCCACGAACTCGATGCCGAAAATGAAGAGGAAATAGGACTTGTAGTAGAGCTGCTGGTCCACTGGCCAGATCTGGCCGCAGAAGATCTTCTCCTGGGTCTTGACAATGATGAGTACGGTTTCGGTGGTGAAGTAGGCCGAGGGGATGGCAATGAGGATGGACACTGCCCACACCAAGGCGATCAGGCCAGTGGCTGTTTGACATTTCATCCGCGGTCTCAGCGGGTGGACGATGGCCAGATACCTAGGGCAAGAGTGCTGATGCAGTGAGAGGAGCAGGTACTGGATACAAATTGCATTTTTGCATCATGATGAAGGCCAAATTATACAGAGGAGAAAGCCTAAGGAGGTATGGACTTTCCAGAAAGGCAAACTTGAACACAAACCCCAGCTCCACTTCTCATCAGCCATGCAGCCTCTGGCGAGTTTAGCTTAACCTCTCTTAACCTCAATTTCTTTTCTTTCATTTTTAAAGATTGGGCATTGTTTCTGGCAAAGTTTTAAGCCTACTGCATACCAAAAAACTGGTAAAAATTACTATTACGTTAGTAATAATACTTTCTATCAATTTCTAGCCTGGCATAATTCCCAGGCCTTTTCTGTTCATCTTAAATTACCATGAGGTTTAGACTGAATCAACCTGGTGACTCCAAAGAGATTCTGGGAGAACTTGCCCTTTCCAAAGGAAGCTCCAGGCAGTTTGTTTTTTATTCCATACTTTTAGAATTACTGCTCAACAATGCACAGGTGGAGGGAAAGCATATGGCCATTTATCTCATTTTCCAGGCTGGAGAGGTGACCGACTCCCCTAAGGTCAGATACCACAAGACCCTTGATAGGAAACACTTAACTTTACCTCAGTGAGTTGATGTGCAAAATCAATTGAGAATATACATGAACATGTTTTTTGTAACCACAAAGCATCAGATGATAGAAGACAGCACTTCTGTTCATTACTAAAGAGCCCACACAGCAGTTACCACAGTGCCCCAGGAAGGATCGAGCCCTTTCTTGGAGTTGTGAGTCATTGGTGTGGTATGATTGCACCCATCCCAGAGAGTGAGTGCACACTTAGGCAGTGAGCTCTGGTTTCCTGGAAAGCTTTCTGCATCTGGCAGGGGGTGGAAACTGGAGAAGAAAGATGGAAGGGAGGTGGGAAGGCATGACGAATCAGCTCTGGACCTAAACACGTGCTCATGTGTCCCAGCTTACCCCAGGTAAGGCTGAGTGCAGCTGTGACCAGGACCTGATAAGAAGCCAACTCGATTCTGTTTCCACTCAAACCAACCCTTTGAGGTGGTCTTTCCCAGGATTTCGAACTGAGGACAGGTTCATTTTTGTATTGTGTGTACGTGATTATTTTCTGCTGGTTCTGTCCTTCCGCATAACACAAGCAAGCAAAACAACTGAACTCTGAGTGGAGAGTTTACCGGAGACTTCTGCTTTCCTCCAGCTCCCAGGAGATGATAGGTGACGCCGGCTGAGCTGAGTCCACCCTGGTCACTGAGGTGGCTGCCACAGTGGCCACAGCACCCATCTTTGGCATTCTTGCTAACAGAATGGTGCCAAAAAATGGAATGGGAATATCTGCAGAGCACCAGCAATGGGGGCTGGGGGAGGGGGCTTCAGAAAGGCCACAATGCTCCTGGTGTCATTAGTGCTTTAAATGTGCTCAGATTCCTAATGAAAATAGAGTTCTCCATTGGCTTATTTTCCCCACATCCGCCCTATTGTGTTAGCACTCTGTCAAAGAAAACTTCTGTGTTCACGTTCATTCACTACTTGAATTCTTACTGTATAATTTTGTTCCTTTCTTTTTTTGACAGTGATTTTCAGTGAATCCATAGGCAATAACCCCATCTAGGGTTCCAGGGTCTCAGAAGACCCAGCTTCACCACAAACTTGTTGTGTGAACTTGACTCGTCTTTCTCAACACTGTTGGTTAGTTTCCTTATTTACAAGATGGAAATATCACCTGGGTACTGAGGCTCCAGTGAGCTATGGTGTGTAAACAGGAATAAGCTATTGCTATGCAAGAAATAACTAATACTCTGAAGTGCTATTGTCAGAGTTATTCTGTCTACACAGCGGTGTTCTCCTATCTGTTATTGGCAAATCCTGCATTTGCAAGTCCCTTACTGCTTTCTATTTATTGAATCCCATCTTCACTTCCAAACAGTTAGCAGGGTTATTTCATCCTGACTATCTCTGATTTCCCCCACCACCACCAAATCCTTACCTGAGGTTAGTGCCATTTGCTGTGCAAGAGGTCATTCTGATACATTTTCCATAGACAAGTTACAGAAAATCATTTCCGTTAGCCTTGGCTAGGCTAGTATGAGAATTCAAGAGCTCTAGTATTGACAACACTTGCTTATGTTTATAAAGCATTTACAATTTACAGAGACAGTTGAAATCTACATCTGTATGAGATAATCTCAACTCCAAAGTATGAGTAAGAGAACAAACTTGTAAAGTAAACGGAGGTTTGGAGAAGTGACTAATATGCCAGAACTCACAGCTTGGGTCACAGAGGTTGACAGAGCCATGACTCAGACACAATCTTGATGCAAGTCCTGTGGCTTCTCCAACAGGCCATTTGCCCCTTCCCTTTCCAACAAAAACAGCCCATTCCCTTTCCTCCTGCTTTCTCAGTATCTCTGCAGCCATTTCCTCTTTTCTCTCTGTCACAGTTGATTTCAGCTTACCGGCCTTCCAAGAAAGGGTCAGATGCTTGGCAGCTACTTTCTCTTGTTATGACCACACCCTTTCTGGTCTCAAGTGTCTATACCTAGAGGGCCTTCGGTCCAGATCCATCCAAAGTCAACATTGCTTAGAGAACAAAGAATAAAGGCTGCTTGGCAAAGAGACACTCAAGGCGTAGTATGTATGATGGTAGCGGGCAGTGAACTCACTCTCCGTCACAGGCTCTGCCCCAGGTAACCATAGTAATGGCAGTTGCAGCAGCTACTAAAGTGATTGTGGGATGGGAAGTGCATCCCACCTTCTCCTGGGGGCAACCAGAACCCTCCAGGGGACATCTGGGCTTCCTTAGGTTGGACAAAGTTACTGAAACCTTTGTGGACCTCACCAAAGCAGAAAAAGAGCATCTTCCAACTAGTGCCCAGACTGGTGGGTTCCCTCAGAATTACAGATTAAAACAAAGACTCCCATCATCTAGATCTGAGGGACAGAGTTCTCTGAAGATAGTTTTTTACTTCCCTTTTTCCATCAGATTGGTTGAGGTATGATTAAAAAAAACACAGTGCCTAAATTCAAAATTGTGAAAATGTGTTACGGTAAAAGACACAGTGTCATTAATCCCACAGAAAATACTCCCTTGTGCTTTGAACGCATTCATCAACCCCTGGTTCTTGCCACTTTCTGAAGCGCCTCTTTTTTGTGAGTATCTTTCCATGGCTGCCTCAATGTCCTAAATTCAAAATGTTGAAGGGAATTCCTGTCAAATAAAAGCTTCACAGTGTGTCTTCAGCCACCTTATTTCCCAGACCTGGTGCTGACTTCTGGATCTTCCCCAAGGTCAAGGAAACCAGGACATGTCAGCTCAGGACATCAAGGCAAGAACAGTGCAACTATAGCTAGTCACAGGAGAGAGAACCTCTAGATCTGCCTCAGAAAATGACAACAATGGGATGTGTGTTTGAAGGCGGGAGGGGGTATTTTGAGGGTTGTTATTGGCAATGTATTTTTTACTATAATATTTTTAAAAATTTTTAAATATTCACTGTAATTTGTGATCAGACCCCATACTCCCTCTGTTGGATTTTGAGAGCTTCTGGAATAGGATCCTGTCCTTCTGATCTCTGTTCTCCTTATGTTCCTTTGTCCCTGCCTCTCTCTAAAATTCTTCACCTCAGACACTGCCACCTCGGGGCTTTTTAAAGACTGTTCCATCCTCTGGGAAAAGCTTTCCTTTCTTTTGCTGATGTTTATTTGTTGAAGGTCAACCTAAAAGTCGATCTCTTCCATGAAGCCTTCTCCGACCACTCCAGTATACAAGGATCTCACCCTTCCCTAGATTTCATGCAAAAATTGTCATTTATATGTCTTCAACCTTTTTATTCATGTAAGTTCCCTCTCTTCCTCATAACCTGCAAGATATAAGCTTCCAAGAGCAGTGATTGTCAACTTCTTTTACAAGCTCCCTGCCTATGAATTTGGGGCACCTTGTAGGATTTTAATAAAACTTCAGCCTCATCAAGTACCTAGCACTAGGTGAACAGAAATGTAAAAAATGCTGTGGTGACAGTTCTCAAAACAGATCACAATCTGGTTTGGAAAACAGGACATACATGTGATTCCCAGCATGACACTGGGAAGCGGTCTGGACCTAGGTAAGAAAAGGCCACATGCACAGCAAAGCTGTGGAGCTGTGCTTTGTAGACAGTGGAGCTACTGTGGGTCATGTAAGCAAGAGACAGCGACATGTACAAGGCAGAGATGAAGTCGGCTGCAGGCTTGCTTACGTTCCCCAAGGCACAGGACCTGATCTCTGTTCCTAGAACCAATCAGGTCGGTTCCTGCCTTGGGGCCTTTGCACTTATAAAGCCCTTATCTGCAAAGCATTCTCCCAGGCCTGACAAGGTGACTGTCCTGCCATCACTTAGAGGTTGGTTCAAATGTCTCCTCAGACACTTATGCTAATGTCTTTCGGACAGCAGGTGCCATGCTCAGTCTCTCTTTGTGCCTTTGTAACTTCTGAAATTACCTTTTTTTTCTGTTTGTCTAGGAGTCATCCTCTTTTGGATATAATCTCTTCTGTTTGTTTATAATCTTCATGAGGGAAAGACCTTTGTAAATTTTTTCTCATTCACCGTTATGTCCCCAGGGCTCGAAAGAGTGTCACATGATAGCTCCTCTACAAAAGCTGTTAGAATGAATACACATGTGAATGAAAGTTTAGAGTGGAAAGTTAGGAAGTAGCTGGGCAGAGCCAAGGTTCGCCAAGTACAGGAAGCCTAAAGGGAGACCGTGACATTGCAGAGTTAGGTAGGGGCAAGGGTGTTTTACAGGAGTGGCAGTTGAATGAATGTTAGAGAATGAGAAAGGCCAGGATGAAACAGACCTTCCAGCTTAGATGACTGGGAAAGCAGGGAGCAACAGTAGGAACAGAAATCCAAGCAGAAAGAAAATAGACAGTCTGTTCTGCTATATTTTGATAGCTGTACTTTAAAAAAAACCTAACATTATGATTTTGTCTAAACATCCTAAAAACAATTGTTTCAATGAAATTAGCCAATGGGAAATATTCATTAGCTTATCTGGCTTTGTGGTTGTTGTCTTTCTTCTTGTAAGAGTTAAGAACAACAATATGCACTATTTAGGGATTACTCTGTCCTAAACATTATTCTAAACAATTGAAGATAGCACTGCATTTAATTCTCAAACCAATGAAATACATTAAGTTTTCTTATTGCCCCCATTTTATAGGTGACAAAACTGAGGCAGAGAGAAGTCAAATAATTAAAATAAGGCTCTGCAGTGACTATGTGGCACAGCAAGAATCCAAACCTAGGTTCAGGAACTGGTAATGCAATCCTTAGAGAGGTTTCATTAAGAAAAACTAGAGGCATTTTCTATTGTCACAGGTGCACTTACACACTAAGATAAAACTTCATTCTCTCAAGCTAACCAAGTCAAACTTTAAACTCACCAGTAAAATTTTGTACAGCCCGTGAGACTACACAAAAATCAATGATTCCTAGACCAGGAAATTGAAATTAGATGGTAACAACACATTAAAATGAAATAATGTGAAACAAAGAACACAAATATCAATTTTTAAAAAGACTTAGTACATTAGAGCAGCCTGCTAGTGAGCCAAGGCCGAGGTTGGTGTGGTGCCAGCACACCGTGCTTTCCTGCAAAGGCAGGCTGCAGGTTTTCAATCACAGCCCCGCTCTGAACAGCAACAGTTCCCACAATGTAAAGTGGACCCCCCAATTCCTCTTTCTCGGTGTATCTAATTTGCATTGTGTAAACTCGTGCTGTGAGTGAAATGTCTACAGCATTTCAGACGAGGTGACTGTGGCTGAAGGAGAGAGCATGAAAGCTTCAGCAGAATGAGACTGACTGGCTTACACAGATATTACACATTACACATTAAAAATAACCCAGTACGCCTCTGGCACCCTTCCCATGGAAGCTCTCCTATGGGTGTCAGCCCTGTTGACCAGGGGGCCCACGCGTGGTAAAATGGACTTCCCCTCAGGAGCAGAGCCCACTCCCAGCTTCACCTACCTACTTTTCCCCTTCCCCTTCCTGGCCCAGAGCATGCCTGAGATGAGATGGCCTGCTGGCATGCGTGCTCAGGGAAAGACCCCATATGCTTTGACCTGCTCATATATCAGGAGAAGAAGTAGCAGTTTCTATGTTCAGGAAGAGTCCTGCAGCTCATCAAGTCCTGCAGCTCTTCCTTGGGGACTTGGGCAGCACAGCCTCTGCTTGACCTTTGCCCTCCTGCTCTGGCTGTAGGCTCACCCAGAGATCTTGCCTGGGTGGACAAATTCCTCGATATCCTCCTCTGGGGAAAGCAGGCAGTGGCTCTGTCTGTACTGCAACAGGCAGTGGACATTAAAGCCAGACTCCTTCTGACCCCTGTCCTTAGGAGTAGACCTTTTCCAAGTTGTTCTACCCCTGGATACCTTCTCTCTAGCTTTACAAAACACGCTCTGTTAGCTGTGCTCCTCTCGGAACACTGATTTGGGATGCCCTGACTTCTAGGGCCACGTTGAACCCCTCAAGTCCCAAGGCAATGGAACAGAGAGACCAAGCATGAATCGGGCTGTCTGAGTTGAAAGGGAGACTGGCCGCTCAGATGTTAGTACATGGAGGTCTGATTTAACCCTCAGGGTAACTGGTTATGAACCATAGCAAGGGACTTTGTTCTGAGACACTGAAAGGGCACAGAAGCTTGTTAAGACTATTCCCAGAACAAGGACCACTTTGGCCCATTAATATGAGTATATTCCACATGACAATAACTGTAAGAAACATTTATAAAGGATGTTGTCACTGATTTTATTTACTATCACTGGCAGCAGCTATTTTGCACAGTTGCATACAAACAGATATAAAGGTGCAAAGCGATCCATGCAAAAACAATTAGGCAAGCACATATTCCCTTTTTGCTTCTTAAAAATTCTCTCAGTTTCATTCAAAACTCAATTATTATTAGGAGATCATGTATTGGTAGATAAATTATTTATAATTACATTTTGATACATTTTAGATATACATACCAATCACATTCATCATAGGGAATTTGTACCTATGCATAATATATCTTGATTCTCATTTTTTTTTTCAATCTCCCTCCCCTCCCTACAACTCAGTCGGGAAAAATTCATAATAAAATAAAAACTTACCTTGAAATTTTCAAGTTCACTCCAGGAGTAACTGCCTAGAACTTAAACATATCCCTCACACCTGTCTACTCCAAATTGGAAATAGGCACAGTGTGCATAGCAGGCTCACAGCAGTGACTGAAAGCCTTTCTGTTGCACAACTGTAGGAGGCTCCACTACCTCCTGCCTGCCTGAAGGCAGAAAACTAGAAAACTGCTCTATGGGGAGTGCCCCACCCATCCGTTCTGTGGGGAGTAGGGGTCATTCTCATCAATCTGTCAGTGCGAGAAAGCAAGGGCCCATTCCAGAGTCTCCTCCTCCCTGAACACTTCTGTTGTCCCCATGCCCCTGCACTCACCTGTCAACGGCGATGGCCAGCAGGGCATTGGTAGAAACGTAGAGGGAGACAGTGCGCAGGTAGTTGACGGAGGCACACAGGACGTGGCCGTGCTCCCAGGAGAGCTGGCGCACCACGTAGTAGTCCATCTCGAAGGGACAACAGACAATGGCCACCAGGAAGTCAGAGATGGCCAGATTGGCGATGAGCAGATTAGTGAGGTTGCGTAGCTTCTTATAGCGGGCCAGGGCAGCAATAAAGATGAAGTTGCCCACACCACAGACCAGCATGATGCCCACCAGGGCCATACCAATGACAATCTTGGCAGCAAAGAAAGTGCGGGAATTGGTCACGTCCTCCTCTTCATCCAAGGGCATGTCATAGTCACCGTAGCTGAAGTTGAATGGCAGGGAAGCAGTGTGGGCCCCACGAGAGTCAAGCACAGAAAGCAAGGTGGCGGAGGAATTGGTGGTGCTCTCATCCATGGCCCCCACAGTGATCTCCATGTGGTCAGGGGGTGCGGGAGGGACACTGCTGGGAATTCTCCCGGGGTGATAGCAGTGCAACCGATGTCCTCCTCTGTGCTGACGCTGAGTTCTCCGTTAAAGAGTCAGGGTCCCTGCCAGCAGCCTTGGGGTATGGTATCCCAGCTCCGTGCTAAGCCTTTGAAAGACACACAAACAGTTGGTTACATGTTGAATGAACCTGGCTGAACCTAAAACCATCCTGTAACCTAAGCAGATCCATTAGCCACCTGCTCAGAGTGAATATGGGGTGATGGTGTGGAAATAAACAGACAGGAACCGAATGAATGGAAACCACATATTCACTTGACTAAGGAAGACTACATTGCTAAGGAGACAATCAGGCACTGACTTTACTTATTTCTGTTTCACCAAATGTACTTTTTCTCAAGAACCAGAAGTGAGGATGTGGAAAGGTTGAAGAGACCTGTTCTGAACTCCTGACACCATCCTGACTGCCTGACTATGTCCTAGGTGTTCCATTCTATGGCAGCAATGGTTCCTTTCCAGTGGCTCAAAAAAAAAAAAAAAAAAATCTAAAAGCCAAAACAGAGGGACAACTTTGAGACAGTGTGTTTGCTCCCCACTAGCTGATCTGGCAAATCACAGATGTAAAATCATGGAACCAGGTACCAGCTGCCTTCTCCCAGACCCACCCAGCTTCCTTTCCCACATCAAAGTCTGCTGTGATCCTAGAAGCTGGGAGCAGAGCTTTCCAAGGCCTGACCTCCAGCAAAGGCTTGGGGGGCTAAGTCTCAGCCTGAATGCATTAGATAGGGGACCCGAGCACGGAACCCTTCCTCAGCTGGCTGTGCGTCCTGAGGGAAACAGCTTAAACACTCAGGATTTCAACATTCTCCAGGCTGGAGATCAATAATGTCTGTAATGCACAGAGCTCCCTGGAGAGGGAGAGTGTTACACCCCAGAATGCAAGGAATTCTGAGCGCTCAGGCCAACGAGCTGCAGGCAAGAGGAAGAAATATTGAGACCACCACACTGCATAATGGTGTAGAACACAGCCCCTTCCCCTAGCCCTGGCCCCTGCTGGGTCCCTCTCAAAGCCTAAAGACTTCAGACTAGGGGGCTGGACATAAGAGAAGGGCTGGGGTCTGGAGTGTACCCTAAATATCAAGAGAACAAGGAAAAGAAGAATGGTGGCCCTGGAAAAGGAAGACACCAGGATGATGCGCAGGACCTCCCAAGAAAGCCTGCTGCCCAGGCTGCTCAAGAAGAGGCTCTGGAGCCTGTCCTTAGCCTTGTGGCTCTGCACCCCAAGAGTTTCAGCCCCACTGCTGTTTCCGTCTCCCAGCTCCTCATCTGGATTCTGTCCGTCCTCTGAGCTCTCCATCCTATCCAGCAGGCCGCCTGCCTCTGTCCCCATCAGGCATAAAAAGCAGGACCCAGAGCTGAAGAGCCAGAGGGGCCAGGCTTGAGTACCAGTGAGACTTGGCTAGCCCTTTGCAGGCCCTGTGTGTCGGGTACCCCTTCTCAAAGGCTACTTCAAGCATACCACCAGGAAGGCTCAAAGTCAGAATTTAAAACCAACAGTACAGAAACTTCTGAGGCGGAGGAGAGGGCTAGAAGACTAAGGATTTGAAGAGAAATTGTTCTTGTCTTTGCTCCTGTATTCTTGGATCTCAGGATAGAAGCTCACTGGCAGTCTCCACCTCTCTACCCTCTGTACTCCAGATGGGGAAACCTTTCTAGCCCCTAGTCACCCCACACATGCTACTTTTAGCACTCTCTTGCTTCCAACTCTCTCTGTCTCTCTGTCTCTGTCTCTGTCTCTGTCTCTGTCTCTGTCTCTGTCTCTGTCTGTCTCTCTGTCGTCTCTCTCTCCCTCTCTCTGTCTTTCTCTTTCTCTCTATCTCCTCTCATTTCTCCTGTCTTTTTCCTCCTGGGAGCCTGGGTGACTATACCTAAGGACAGAGGGCGTTGCCTGGCTCTCCTGAAGAAATGCACGCTTTAGAGTCCCCCCTCCCCCTTTAAGAGCCCGGCTGCCCGGGCCTCCCAGCAGCCTTAGAGAGCTGGGGTCCCTGGAGCGACCTCCGGGAGGGAGGCTCAGTACCTGTGGCCTGCCGACGCCTGCAGTCAAGGGCCAGCTTTCTTCATCCCAGGGCTAGGGACCGGGATGCTTCTCCCAGAGCTTCTTATCTCTTTCTCCTCTTGTTGAAGATTTTCCCCAGGCTTTGGCACGACTCGCGCTCACGCTGCAGGGGCAGAAGCTGGGAGAGGCAGCTGGGCTCCGAGGCCACCCCTGCTCGGCCCGCCCCTCTCTCGCTGTCCCTGCCCCCAGTGGTCGAGGGATGCTCAGACTCCAGGAGGCGAGGCCAGGCTCCCGGGGTGCCCGAGCGCGGACGGTTCGGAGCGAGGCTGCCTAGGGCTCACCAAGGCGCAGTTGGAGAGGCAGGTGGTCCCCTGCCGCTGGGTTGGGACACAGAGCGGCCGCTCCGCTGGAGGCGGCAACTAGGAGGGAGTGAGGCAGGAGGACAACACGTCCTCTGACTCGGACTCCGGGACGCTGTGGCTTGGGCGGGAGGCAGGGTTGTGCGCCCAGCCCGCAGGCAGTGCCCTGGCCAACGGCTGGATCTGCCCTAGGGCTCTGGACTCCTCGTCCGCTCACCTGGCCAGTCCAGCGCCGCCGCAGCCAGAGTGGGCGGACACGGGCCAGCTGAGCAGGGAGCTTTCAAAGCGCCGGGAGGAGCCTGGCTGCTGCCCACAACATTGCCCTCCCAGGACACCACAGACCTGGAGATCGAGATGTCCCAAACCGTGGCCCCCTGGGCGAGCCCAGCTGCACAGCAGGACTGTCCATTGTCAGCTGCCAGACACCACTGCAGGAAAGAAGTTCAAAGAATGCTCTCTGGAGTGGGGTGGCCACAGTGGAGAGAAAAAGGGCACTCTCCTTACACACACACACACACACACACACACACACACACACGCACGCATGCACGCACGCACACACACATGCATGCATGCACAGGGCATATCTTTTCAAGTTAGATGTCCAGAGCTGATTTGCAGAACACAGATTTCCTACACACGCCTATAAATTCTTCAAAATACTACACATAGAATTACCCTGTGATCAGCAGTTCAACTTGAAAATACTTAACTCAGAAGAATCAAAAGCAAGGATTCAGATGCATGTAACCAATGATGAGAGGAGCATTACATACAATAATCAAGAGACAGAAGCTACCCGAATGTCAATCAACTGAGAAATGGATAAACAAAATATACATGATATATAATACTGTCAAATATTGAGTCTTGAAAAGGAATAAAATATACCAAGTGTTGGTGAAGATGTGGAGGAATTGGAATCCTTGGGCACTGTCAGTAGGATGTAAATGGTGCAGCCATTGTGGAAAACAGGGTAGTGTTTCCTCAAAAAGTAAATGTATCTGATGCAGAAGTCCTGGAAATGGGAAGTGAGGCTGGTTGAACAGCACCGAGTGTGTACTTAATGTCACTGAATTGGGCATTTAAAGTTATGAATGTTGTTAAGCGAATGTTACATAAATTTCTCCCTGTAGAACAGCTCAGAGCTCCTTTGTGAGGGCTCTATCCTGTGCCTTCCAAGATTGGCCTCCAGGTGTCTGTAATGGAAAAGGTGCTTCCTAGGATCTGGGGCTCCAGTTCTCTGTGCCACCATTGAACTTTGTGACTTCAGGAAAGGCACATGTCCTCACCGAGGCTCTGTTTAGTGAGTGGAGCTTGCTTAGGAAGTCACTAGGGATTCCAGTGCCTTGGGCGCCATCTTGCCCTAGCTCTATCCCTCCCTGGACAAGTACTTTGTTCATTGGCATAAACTGCCCTTTTCAAAAATGACACAGCACTTTCATATCTCTGAGGTTCATGTTCCCTGGGACACGGAACAGGATAGTGGTAAAGAGCTTAGGCTATGGAGTCAGTTGCCTCCTTTCCACATAGCTCTACAGGCATGTGATTGGGTAGTAGGGTAACCAAACCTAGCTTTCCTTATTTATTAACTAGGGTGACAATAGCTTCTGTGTCATAAGGTTGTTGTGAGGGTTTAATAAAGTAAGACAGGTAAAGTGCTTGGCACGATGGCTGGCACTCTCCAGCACCTGAGAAACACCAACTATGACCCTAACTAATCCTTTTTTATCTCTCTCTGTGTGAGACCTTAATTGATCTTTGAGACATAGCTTGCATATTGTTTCCTTGGAGGAAGTATACCTTAATTCTCCCACTGATTTTCACTTCTTTCTTGTCACCTGATGCTTCTCTTCAAATGCACTTTGCATGCCAATTCTCTATCTTGCCCTTTTCCATGGGGAAGAGACACATCCTATTCTGCAGTTTCTTGAACTTGCCTGATGATGAAAATTATCTAGGAAACCAGTAAAACCTACCTATTTTGGGGTCCCACTCCAAACTAAGAGATGTGCTTTAGAAATCTGTATCTTTAACTTGCATCCCAGATGATTTTTATTGCTAAATGTGGTTGAGAATCTAGGGACTAGAACACAGTCTGGCACAAGATGAACAAGTTGATTTGTCAGTGTAGACTGGCTTATTATACTCAATTTATTTCTACTCAAAAGAAGAAATTACAAAATGCATTAACTATCTACTGCTGTATATTAGATAATCCCCAAAGCTGCCCACAAGTACTATTTCAGAGTCTTCAAGGACCAGGAATCTTGTGTGGCTGAGTGTGGTGATTACTGAGTCAGGGTTTGCCAGGAGATTGGAGTTAAACTGTCAGCCGGAACTGCATTCACCTCTGAGGGGTCAACCAAGAAAGCATGCACCTGCAAGCTCACATACATGGTCACTGTTATGGTTTATACCTAGGTGTCCCCCAAGAGCCTCATGCTATGAGATGGGGCTTTTAGAAGATGATTGGGATGTGCTATGGCTAACTTGCTGTTGGGAGGTGGCGCCTGGTGAGAAGCACGGCACTGAGGGTGTGACTTAGAATGGTCCACGGCATCTCCCTCTACCTTGACTCTTTTCTGCTTCCTAGGGGCCATGGTTTGAGCTCCTTTCTTCCATGCAGATCCTTCAACTATCCCTTTCTACCTTAAGCCTGCCAATCATGTGAGCCAAAATAGAGCTCTCCTTCTTTAAGTTGCAGGTATTAGGCATTTTGTCCCAGCAATGAGGAAAGTGAATAAGATCCTTGTCCTCAGGTCTCAGTTCCCTGGCTGTTGAAGATGGCTTTAGGTCATCTTCATATGAGCCTAGTTAGCTACAGGCTACCCAAGCAAAGCCACAACATAGTTGCTGACTTTCTATGCTTCTGCTATAAAACAAGCCCTGTACAGTGTGGAAGGGTGATCACACAAGGGTGTGTATACCAGGAGCGGTGGATCCCTGGCAATAACACAGAAGCTTTGGTGACTACCAGACAGAACTTCCCTTCTCTCTTCAAAGTCTCAGCAGGAAATGGTAGTTGAAATTAACATTGAGGTTAGCCATGGTAAAGAACACTTCTGGCCTTAGAGTAGGGAGGCTGTGGGTGACTTCTGGATAAGTGACTATCCAAAGGAAGATATGTCAGGAGGATGATTTGTTGGAGAAATGGGGTGGAGGCAGTCTGGCAGGCTCTGTGCACTGCAAATCCTTTTGGGGCTCCTTTGAAGGGCTGGGGTGACTGCATATCATTTTCTGGTCCCTCTCCCACTCCTCTATGCAAGAATTAGATATCCAGCCGGAGTCCGTCCAATTAAAGAATTTTAATAGTCTGTGACAACTATCTAGGCACGCAGGAATCTGAGGCAAGAGGAACGTGAGTTTAAGGTCTGGCTACAGAAAGAGTTCAAGGCCAGCCTGAGCTATCTATAGCAAGAGCTTATCTTAAAAAAAGAAAGTTATAGTGCAAATATCTAGGCTGAGAGCAAAATATGAAACTCAATGAAGAAGTTTTTAACAAAAGAAAAGTTGAGGATAAAATCTGTAACTCCATTAATGAATTTTTTTTCAAATGTATAGCCTCAGCAGTTGGAAATTGTCCATAATTAGAGTTCACTGCCAGATGGGGAGAGGTGCCCTGACTAATCCTGCCTACAAAGAAATCTGCAATATGAGAGAATTTGCCACTCCTGGGAATTTTGGCCAAACAAGATCTAAAGAGCCTGTTTGGAAAGTACGTTCTTTAGAGATGTACCAATTCCAAATCATGTCTTTGGGCTATTTCTTTTTTTTTTTTTTTCTTTTCCTATTCAACTCATCTGAACCATCCAACCCTTTAAATTTTCATTTCTTCATTTGATCCTATAGTTATGTCTCTTAGATTTAAACATGGAAGTTTTGTTTGTTTGTTTTGTTTTTCTTAGCATCTTAGGGTCTTTTTAAACCTTGCAGCTCCTGGGAGAATCTAGTTAATACCACACAGAAATCTGACTCAGTGCAGAGTTTCATTCAGTGGGTACTCTTCACATGAAAAGATACTCAGTTAAGAAAAAGAAAGTCACTCACCCAGTGTATGAGAGCCGGCTGATTTCAGAACTCCTATGTAAGTCCAAGCGTTCACTTCCCTGGCAAGCTGCTCTCATAACACATATTACCTGTTCTCAATTTGCCCCTCTCCCAGTGATCCTTGGCTCCAGGGCCCAGGCATAATTCTCCTGTCTGGCAAATTTACTAAATCAGCTTATTTTCTGCTTTCATCAGATTTGTTTTCTCAGCATACCCCTTCCAATGCCATGAAAAAAGCAAGGATCCTGGAAGATGCCAGGGCTGGCTCAGAACCATTCTGCCTCCCGTTCCAATTATCTTGCCAGCGTTCAAGCCAGCACTACGTAACCTGCTTCCTGAAGTTCCCTCCGAAGATTGTTTGGGTGCCCCGTGCCGTTCCCTCACCTGGGCAGGAGGCGAAGGAAGATCCAGATGGGCACAGAGGGGTGCCTCCAAGCCCAAACCCTTCGCACACATTAACCCTTTCATTAATTTAACCGGCTTAGTACTGTCCCAAACAAATTCTCAATGATATTCTTTTGGGATTGCAGAAATTCTGCATTTGTTTATTTTGAAAGAACAAACAGGAAATGGGAAACAAAGATTTCTTGAAAGAGACAAATGATAAACGGAAACTTGCCTGTTAACATAAACATATAATGAAACTAAGAAACAGTGAAAAGATAATGCGCTCAATCTCAAAGGGGCGCTGGCTGGTGAGATCTGCCAACTCAACCGTCACTATTCTGGAATATTTTACAAGGAGTCAGTGCAGGACAGAGGGAAAGGGTAGGGACAGAGACCATACAGGGCGTCTACTTCAGATGACCACCTTGCTGCTGAGGCCCTGTGGTGAGAGTGGTGTAGGCAGTAGGACTCTGGGTGACAGGAGACCACAGATAACACCACTGCGGGGCTTCTGGTGCAGAGCAAGAAGGCCTCGCTTTGCCAAAGAAACACAGTCCGGTTTTAATGCAGAGAGGGCTGCCTGGGATGCTGCAGTGTCCTAGCACCCTAGGTCACAGATTCTGAAGCTGCGAGGTGGGTCCTTCCCACTGACACAGTGCCATTGTAGGGGAAGCCGTGCAGGCAGCTCCTGAGAGTCTTAGGAAGATGTGTTGAAAAAATATGCATAAGGGCGAGAATATGGCAGGAGTAAAAACTCCCAAATA